TATGCTGGTCAGGAAGAAGTCTGTAACCCAGGAGTGTAGATAGCAGTCATGGGTATAAAATAAAGCGACATAGAGGCCCAGGAAGCAGTTGTATATAGAGCAACAATGTATCTCCTGGAGCCCAAATGTGGGGATGTCCCTATTTGCATCCCACACGTCCTTGCTGGAGAAATGCCATTAGGTGTTCCTTGTTTGGTGTGTAAGAATTGTTCCAGCTGTTCTTAAGATGCTAAAAATTGGGCGCCTGGGTGGCTCAGTTGGTTAAGCGACTGCCTTCGGCTCAGGTCATGATCCTGGAGTCCCTGGATCGAGTCCCGCATCGGGCTCCCTGCTCTGCAGGGAGTCTGCTTCTCCCTCCGACCCTCCCCCCTCTCATGTGCTCTCTCTCATTCTCTCTCTCTCAAATAAATAAATAAAGTCTTTAAAAAAAAAAAAAGATGCTAAAAATTTGGGGCGCCTGGGTGGCTCAGTTGGTTAAGCGACTGCCTTTGGCTCAGGTCATGATCCTGGAGTCCTGGGATCGAGTCCCACATCGGGCTTCCTGCTCAACAGGGAGTCTGCTTCTCCCTCTGACCCTCCCCCTTCTCATGAGCTCTCTCTCTCTCAAATAAATAAATAAAATCTTAAAAAAAAAAAAGATGCTAAAAATTTGTAGGTGGGGTTGGAAAGAGCGTATCTGTGTCTCAAAGCTTAGGATGATCCAGCCAGGGTGTGAATACCATATGTGCATTTATGGTTCTGCATTTTCAGCTTTCATTTAACAAGACTGTTGAGCAACTGCTCCAGGTAAGGCACTGCGCTGGGTTTCATGCAGGGCACAGAGACACGGGTGACACAGCCTGTAACGGAAGCGATCATACGTGTACTCATGTGCACCAGGCATAATGTGATCTGGAGTAAAGACCGAGCCAGATGCCTGTCAAATCCCTGGAGTCAGCCTTGATGCCTTCACGCTCTTGCTGTCGGCACCCCACTCTCCACGCTCCCAGGTTCTAATGATTCCCATCTCATTGCTAACTCGCTGTGGTCTTATGCTAGGAATGTCTCTCACTGCCACCCCTCCTCTTGGTTCCCTCTTCCATGGCCCATCTCAGGCCCTTGTTACCTTCCACCTGAACCCTTCCAATAGCCTCCTATCCCCTGCCTCAGTGTCTCCCCATCCAGGGCATACTTGTCATCCTACTTAGTTCCCAGCTTGAACTACTCTCCTTTTATATCCTTCCGTGACCCTCAGAATCCAGAATCTAGAGTCAAACTTGATCTCCTGGCCTGGAGCTTCAGCTAAGCTCTCCCCACTCTGCCCACCTCCTTTCCCAAATCATTATTTCCCACTACTCCTTTACAGGAAACTTACTGTAAGATTGTTTTTCTTGTGATTCCCCAAACACATCCTGTACTTTTCCAGCTCAAGGCCTTTGCTGATTCCATTCTCTTCCTCACAGTCATATTCCACATCTGACTCTGTGGTATCCTACCCTGTGAACCCACTGTTCAAAGTCATCTCAAATGCCACTCTTCCATGAAGCCTCTTCTGATTGATTAGCAGACGGGAACACTAGTTCCTTTGGGTCTCCCCTGTACACTTAGTGTTCAGTTTCCTTAAGACCCTCAAGAGAGGGGCGCCTGGGTGGCTCAGTCGGTTAAGCAACTGCCGTCAGCTCAGGTCATGATCCTGGAGTCCCAGGATCGAGTCCCGCATCGGGCTCCCTGCACAGTGGGGAGTCTGCTTCTTCCTCTGACCCTCCTCCCTCTCGTACACTCTCTCTCTCTCTTACTCTCTCTCTTAAATAAATAAAATCTTTAAAAAAAAAAAAAGACCCTCAAGAGAGTTCTCCTGGTCGGCGTCCCTCCCCACGCATAGGGTGAGGTGCCAGCTGAGTCTGGCTTGCCTCACTCAGCAGCCCATACACTGAAACCAACCTCAGTACTTTCAACAGGAGCTTTTTTTTTTTTTTTTTAAGATTTTATTTATTTATTTGACAGAGACACAGCGAGAGAGGAAACACAAGCGAGGGGAGTGGGAGAGGGAGAAGCAGGCTTCCCGCCGAGCAGGGAGCCTGACGCGGGGCTCCATCCCAGGACCCTGGGATCATGACCTGAGCCGAAGGCAGATGCTTAATGACTGATCCACCCAGGTGCCCCTCAACAGGACCTTTAACAGGGTGCCTGGCACCAGTAAATGCTCAAAGGATGTTAAATTGTGTGTCCATGAGCAGCTGTCTCTAAGGCAGTTATGAGAATACACCATTTCTCTTAAGTTATTACCATTACCACATTTGCATAATGTCTCACAGTTTAAAGTGGTCTTTACATAGATATTGTTATTTTTTCTATTACGACAAGGACAAATCTGGGCAGCTGCTAACCTCTTGCCTTTGTTTTGTGGCACCAGCCTTATGTGAGCTTTTCTGCACACATCTGCGTGGGTAGCTTTATTGTGTTGCCCCTGCGAAGTCTCTGCACTTTTGCTCTGTGTATGTGCATGGTAAAGGGGAGCAGGATAGGCCACCCCAAAATGTGCCACTTTGGCATGTGAATTATTTTGAGCTGAAGGCAATCAACACCCAGCAGACTCGGGGGGAAAAGCTTTTTACCTCTCTCTTAACTGCCTAGAAGAATTTAGATAGGGGCCTGAACCACAAAGACAGCTATTACCAGAGCTAACTTTTTATCTAAAAGACTTACTTGCTAGGCAGGGCAAACATCTGACTCCCAAACATCTGCCGGTGAATTGCCCTCCTCTCTTTTGAAGCCCCAGGCCCCTGTTCCGTTCCTTAGCTGGAGATGGCCTATAAACCTCAATTGCCTTTGAATCTCCTGGCTTCTTGGGCTCCTGAAGTACATAATTAAATGTTTTTCTCCTGTTACTTACATCAATTTAATTATTAGACCAGCCCAAGAAGCTAGAAGGAAAGAAAGGACTATTTTTCTACCCCTACAATGTGGTGTGTGCTGAGACAGGCAACATCATGTCTGTGTGTACTAGTGTGTTCATTTCTCTGTCTTCTTGGCTATTTCTGTAATGACTTTCCTCTTGGCGAGCGTGTGTTTTCTATGTGTAGCTACAAGTGTATGTATGTGCGTGTGTAACCGTAATTCCTTGACTCTGCTGGGTCACTATTGTCCCAGAATGGCCAGATTTGTCAGTCCTCCTGCCCCCCCAGAGATGGGGCCAGCGGCCCAACCACCTCCTAAGCTCTCTGCTGGCCGATCTCCAGCTACCACATGCCCTGACATGTGCCTGCAGCCCAGGATCTCACCCATCCCACTCACAACTCACACACTCACAACACACACTTCAGCGCTAGGTTGCACAGGCCAAGTCACCACCCCCTTTCTTTGCTTAACCGTCGGAATTTCCAGCTTGCTCCGGCCACCACTCCCAGCCGCGGGTGGAGTCGAGAAGGACCCGCCCAATTCTGGGGCGCACATAATTTGCTCGGCACCGCTGCCGGTCCGCAGTCGGCCTTCCGCTCCGCTCAGTGCGCAATGTGTCACTCTCGCAGCTCCCTCCCCACCATGACCGTCCTGCGGGCCCCGACCCCGGTCTCCTCCGCCAGCCCCGGACCCCGGCGGGGCTCTGGTCCTGAGATCTTCACCTTCGACCCTCTCCCAGAGCCCGCGGTGGCCCCTGCCGCGCGCCCCAGCGCCTCCCGCGGGCATCGGAAGCGCAGCCGTAGGGTCCTCTACCCACGAATGGTGAGTGTCGTGGAAGTGGGCAGCCGGAGGGGCAGGGGGAACGGCCGGACGCCGGGGTCCTCAGCCAACCTGTCGCCTTTGTTGTCTCTCTTCAGGTCCGGCGCCAGCTGCCAGTCGAGGATCCGAACCCTGCCAAAAGGCTCCTTTTTCTCCTGCTCACCGTCATCTTCTGCCAGATCCTGATGGCTGAAGAGGGCGTGCCGGCACCGCTGGCCTCGGAGGACCCCCACAGCGGCGCAGCCCCCGCGCCCACCCCGGCGCCCCCGGTCCTCGAGCCCCTTAATCTGACCTCTGAGCCCTCGGACTACGCTCTGGACCTCAGCACTTTCCTACAACAACACCCGGCCGCCTTCTAACCGGGACTCCCCACATCCCCCCACTCGAAAGAATCCGAAAAACCAAAGAAACACCAGGTGTACCTGGTGCGCGAGAGCGTATCCCAAACTGGGACTTCCGAGGCAACTTAAACTCAAAACACTGCAGCGGAGACGCCAGCCCAAGCCTGGGATGAAACGAGCAACTACACTCCGCACCGACACTCCCGGGCTAGGCCGCGTGGGGAAGAGCGTCATTAATTTATTTCTTACTGGTCCTAATTAATATTTATATGTATTTATGTATGTCCCCCTAGGTGATGGAGGGGTGTATGTAATATTTATTTTAACTTATGCAGGGGTGTGAGATGTGCCTCCCTGCTGAAAATGCACAACTCTTGGTATTTGTTGAGCTTTGTGGGAAAGGTGGAGGCTGGGCGCTTTGGTTCTCCTTCAGAACGAACGGAAAGGTCCTGGATCTGGGAGAGCGCCCGGGCTGACTCAAGGATGGTGGTGGGTCGTAGTTTAGGGGCTGGTATTCCGTCCTCCAGGATTTCAACTCCTTGGATCTACTGCGTGAGGCTTTGGCGGACCATTGGGGATAAGGTCCTTGGCCTTCGATCTTCTCGAAGTTGCCCCCAAGGGGTGGCTAGGGTGTCGAAGGTCGGTGGGCTGTCAGCGGGCGGCTGTGGGTCGCCCGGTATGTTCTGTGAACACAAATAAAGTCGATTTATTGTCAGTCATCTGAGTGTACGAATCTTTGCTAGCGGCGATTCCCCACCCCTCCCCGCCTTCCGGCGCCAAGGGCAGGCGGGCGGAGCTGGGGCCACGTCCCCAGCAGGCGCTCCGCCCCAGGTGACCGGATGCAGTCTTTCGTTGCCCAGTGTGTGGTTTTCCCAGTTACCGCGGGGCAAACCAGAGATGGGGCAATCTCCCCGGCCCTGGGTTGCAGGCTCACGGAGGTCACGTCCCGCTTCCCGGGGCGGAGCTCCCGGCCGGGGAATGGGGGCGGCGGGGCTGGCTGCTCACCCAGCAAGCGGGCCAGGCGGGGGTAGGCCCGGCCGGAGGCGGGCTGCGGACGCGAGCGCGGCTTGCCGGGAAAGGGGCGGGGCGGAGGGTGGCCCGCCGCGGGGGGGCGGGGTCGCGTCTGCCGCAGCAACAGGGTGCGGCCGAGTGAGGGGCGCGAGCGTCGGCCGGGCTGGCTGGAAGGCTGTCCCCTCCACCCCCGCGACCGCCGCTCCGCTCGCAGACCCGCTGCGCGCCCCGGCTGGGCCGCCGCCCGCGTGCGGGCAGGTAGGTGGGGAAGGGGATGTAATCGGACTGCGGAGGAGCAGGGAGGGTGCCGCAAGGTCTGGGGGCCTCTAGGCGCGGGAGAGCTTTATCAGTGGAGCGAGAAACTCCTCACCGAAGGAGGGAGGGGGAAGGGAGTGGCCGTAAGCCGGCGGGAGGCGGAGAGAGCCGCTGGGGACCTGTGCGACTTAACAGGGAAATGCCTTAGCGGACCCACGGGTGCGGAAGGGACTGGGCCCTGGTGGCTGGAGATTGGGCGAGACTGACGGGAAAGAGAGAACATTCACTCCTGTGGACCCCGCCCGCAAGGGCTTTCTCTCCCTTTCCTCCAGCTTCAACCTGAGCCATGTTTTTTACCTGTGGCCCAAATGAGGCTATGGTGGTCTCCGGTAAGTAATGTTCTCTTCTCAGCCAGTGCCCCCCAAACCCTTGTGGTCCGGCCTCTACCCCTTACCCTTCTCCCTACCAGCTCCCCAGGCCCGGGCCTTCTGTCCACCCCCCCCCCTCACACACACCCCACCTCATGGCTGCAAGCCACCCACTTGTGATTCCCAGTGCTACCCTTCCAAGGCCCAGACTGCCTCCCCTCCAGCTCCCAGATTTCCTTGTGGGGATTATCCCCCCGCCCACTCCAGTTTTTCAGTCTTCCATATTCTAGCCCTGCCTCTGCCACTGCGGTTTACTGCCCCCGCACCTTGCAGGTTTCTGCCGAAGCCCCCCAGTCATGGTGGCTGGAGGACGTGTCTTTGTCCTGCCCTGCATCCAGCAAATCCAGAGGTAGGTAGAAAAAGTACCAGGGAAGGGGAACCCCAGTTTTCTCTCTTTTCTTTTTTTCTCACTGTCCACTCCTTCTTTTTCCCATAGGATCTCTCTCAACACACTGACCCTCAATGTCAAGAGTGAAAAGGTTTACACTCGCCATGGGGTCCCCATCTCAGTCACTGGCATTGCCCAGGTGAGGCTTTCAGAGCCTTTCCCCACCAGAGTCCATTCCCTCATCACCTTCTTTGTCCCCAGACATTACGAATCTTCTGAGCATGGCCTTCCCAATCTCTGGCTGCAGAGAAATGTCTCTGCTAAGTCTCACCTTCTTCAGGGACTCCCAGGGCACTTGACTCTTCCATTCTCTTCCTGCTTCCTACCTAGCTTCATGAGACCTTCACCACATTTTCCCTATCCCTACTCTGGTTACAGGTGAAAATCCAGGGGCAGAACAAGGAGATGTTGGCGGCTGCCTGCCAGATGTTCCTGGGGAAGACGGAGGCTGAGATTGCCCACATTGCACTGGAGACTCTGGAGGGCCACCAGAGGGCTATCATGGCTCACATGACTGTGGAGGTGGGCTTGAGGGCAGGGAAAGATCTGGAAGAGATGCCAGAGTGAGTGGCACCTAAGGACCCTGCTAGTCTCTAAGAGACAGTAGCCAGAGGACTGAGAGCTTAAGTTCCTACTTCCCACCGTTTTGTTACCCTAGGAAATCTATAAGGACAGGCAGAAATTCTCAGAGCAAGTTTTCAAAGTGGCCTCCTCAGACCTGGTCAACATGGGCATCAGTGTGGTTAGCTACACCCTGAAGGACATTCATGATGATCAGGTAAACTTAGGTAGCTGATCCTCTCCAGTTCCCTGCCCCCATCTCTTAAACCCTCCCGAGGATTCTGAATGCTGCTTCTCTCTCACAGGACTATTTGCACTCCTTAGGGAAGGCTAGAACAGCTCAAGTCCAAAAAGATGCTCGGATTGGGGAAGCAGAAGCCAAAAGAGACGCTGGGATCCGGGTGAGAGAGATTCCACTTGGGGGAATCACTTGGTCACCGTGGGCTTCTTGGGCATGCAGCGGGAGAGGGGATGGAAGGGGCACAACTGAGTGAGGGCTCGTAGAACCGGGTTGGCAGAGGAAATAGATGAGGCCACGTGCAGGGGAGCCTGGTGAGGAGCAGGCTCTCCCCCTGGGGCCTTCTTCTCCCTGCTCTAATTTCCTCCCTGATTTCTGTGTGGACAGGAAGCCAAAGCTAAGCAGGAAAAAGTGTCTGCTCAGTACCTGAGTGAGATCGAGATGGCCAAGGCGCAGAGAGACTATGAGCTAAAGAAGGCTGCATATGACATCGAGGTCAACACCCGCCGAGCACAGGCTGACCTGGCCTATCAACTTCAGGTCAGAGCTCTCACACTGGGCAGTTAGTTCCTCTCAAGCCCTCCATCTTAGGCCACCACATTTTCTCATATTCTGACTCTGATCCCTCTATTCTGGCTCTACATTTCTGACCCAACTCCTCCATATGAGGAAGATTTGAAAGACCTAAGCATTTCAGTTGAAAAGCAAAGTAAGGGACGCCTGGGTGGCTCAGATGGTTAAGCATCTGCCTTCGGCTCAGGTCATGATCCCAGGGTCCTGGGATCGAGCCCCACATCGGGCTCTGTGCTCAGCGGGGAGCCTGCTTCTCCCTCTCCCTCTGCCTGCCTGTCTGCCTACTTGTGATTTCTCTCTCTCTCTGTCAAATAAATAAATAAATAAATCTTTAAAAAAAAAAGAAAAGAAAAGAAAAGTAAAGGCCAAGAAGGGATATGGTCAGTAGGATGGGATCATATGTTTGGGCAGATTGTCCGCTGGGTAAGGGCACCTGGATGAGTGGCTGAAGCAGAGCTAAGATCCAGCCCATGCTCCACACTCGCCATGCTGTGTGAGGGGGCACCTTTTTCTGATTTTCCATGGGCTTGTAGCAGCCCTGGTGATCCAAGAAGGGCATGGGGAAGGAAAACATGGACTTGGGCTTTGAATCCTGCAAAGTGAGATATGGGCAGCCCTTGATATTGCAAGGTGGCATGGTCAGACCTCCTTGTTTGCAGATTCTGTATTTGAGAATTTGCCTACTCACTAAAATTTACTGGTAACTCCAGAAACAGTCCTTGTGGCACCTTTGTGATCATTTGCAGACATGCACAGAGCAATGAAAAATTTGAGTTGCCTGATGTGCATTTGAGGTTGAACAAGATGTTCTGCCTTCTTGTTTCAGCTCTAATGATATAAAGTGTCATTTTCACAGTATATTTACTGCTACATTTTTTGATTTTGCTGTTTAAAATGGCCCCCAAACGTACTGCTAAAGTGTTAAGTGTTCCTAAGTGCAAGGAGGTTATGATATGCCTTATAGAGAAATTACATGTGTTAGATAAGCTTTCAGGCATGAGTTATAGTGCTGTGGGCAGCAACTTCACTGTTAATGAATCAACAGTGTGTATCACATAAGGTATCTTTAAACAGAAACACATATATAGCAAGGATATATACTGATCTGTCATGAACAGGGGCTCACAGGAACCTAACCGTATATTTCCCCTAATAACAAAATAAGTATTTGCTAATTCAGTATTCATGGCTACTTTATAGAACAGATCTACCATGAATAATGAGAATCAACTGTACTTTGAGACCTTTACCCGAAGGATAGCAATATTAGGAAATTTGTTTTTGCCAAGAGTTGGTATAGGCTTAAAGGATGATGAAGTGCAAAACGGCTTTAGCTTATGATGTTAAGTTCCTGGTGGTTTGACAGGTAATTGAGTGTGGCATAGTACTTGGCTCCTCAGTGTGGTCTGCCTACCAGCAGCATCAGCATCACTGTGGAGCTTATTAGATAGAAAATCTCCAGCTCCAGTCCTACTGACTGAATTAGAATCTGCATTGTTTTTATTATTTTTTTTTTTAAAGATTTTTTATTTATTCATTTGAGAGAGAGCAAGCAAGAGCATGAGCAGGGGGAAGGGGCAGAGGGAAAAGCAGGCTCCCCGCCCAGCAGGGAGCCCGATGTGGGACTCAATCCCGGGACCCTGGGATCATAACCTGAGCCGAAGGCAGACGCTTAACCGACTGAGCCACCCAGGCGCCCCTGCATTGATTTTTTTAAAGTAGGCTCCACGCCCGACCTGGGGCTTGAATGCATGACCGTGAGATCAAGAGTTGCATGCTCTACAGACTGAGCCAGCCAGGTGCCCCTAGAATCTGCATTTTAACAAAATCCCTAGGGGATTCATGTACACATTGGAGTTTGAGAAGCATTAACAAGTGGAAACCATTAACTTTTGCGTGGTCCTTAACCTAAATAGGCTTTCCTTATCTGTAAATCAAAGGATTGGGCTGGTTTTGGCTCTGTTCCAACTTTTATCAGTTCTTTATTTTGTGCCAGGCTTTGTGCTGGGTGCTTGGGGAAATAAGGATTCATTCAACAAATACCTATTAAGTGCCTGCTATGTGCCAGACATTGTTTTGGAAGTGAGGATGTAAGTATGAATGAGACAGAAAAGATTCCTGCCCTTGTGGAGCGTATAACACAGGAAACAGCTAATAAGCAAGTAAATAACTTTCATAGGTTCTGATTATCTTGTTTAAATGCTATGAAGGAAATAGAGTGATGAAAAAAACAGTGGAGAGGTACTATATTAGGTTGGGGGTGATCCAAAAAGCTTCAGTGAGGAAGTGATTTATGAGATAAACCTGAAGATAGAAGGAGCCAGCAATGTAAAGAGTTGTGGGCCAAGAGCATTCTAGGCTGTTCAGATAGAACTTTCTTTGATGATGGAAATGCTGTAAATCTGTGCTGTGATATTGAGTGTGTGAAATGTGGCTTGTGGAACTGTGGCTAATGAAATGTGACTGAAGACAGAATTTTAAATTTTATTTAATTTTAATTAATTTTAGATATAACTAGCCATATGTGGTTAGGCAGAGGACCATCACATGCAAAGGCCCTGAGGTAGGAAAGAGCTTGGTGTGTCCCAAGAACAGAGAGGAGGGTTCTGATCTGGTGGGGCTGGTATGCTGTGAGTAAGATGGTGAGGCAGGCAGGGCCAGTTCACATAGGGTTCAGGTGGCCGTGTTGGAGACTTAGAAGAGAATTCAAAGCCCAGTGGAATGCTATTGGAGAACTTTAAGCAGGGAGGTGCCATGGTCTAATTTACATTTTTACAAGGATCAGTCTGGCTGTTGTGTGGAGAATTGATTCTCAGAGGACAAGAGAGGAAGCAGGAAGATAAGTTGGAAGATTTTTCGGAGATGATGGATTGAAAAAATACAGTTAATTGCACTCCCCCAAAACCTCACTAAAACCACACAGAGTAATGGAGAAGGAGAAAACAGATGGAGAGAATAGGATCAGAAGGAACAGAAAGCATAGTATCGTTTTGGAAGCCGGAAAGACATCGAAAGTAACTAAGCCAGTGGTACTTTATCAGTGGTCGGCACGATGTGACCATTGAATCTAAATGCTGACAGCCTCCCCTAACCCCCTTACTGCGTTTGGCCCCCAGACACTCCCATCTTCCAAAGAAGTCATCAGAAGACTGTGCTGAGGAACATGACCAATCCAAAGGGAAAGACTTTAAGGATCCTGAATCATGGGTTCCTCAGCAGATGACCTGCCCAGATCACCCTGGAGTAAAGCTTAGAGTAAAGCTCAGAGTCAGCAAGCCTCAGCCACTTGCCCACAGTCACCCACACGCTCAGTTTCCTTTCACTGTTTTAGACCTCCTTCACTGTGGGCAGCCAGCCAAGGATTACCTGATATGTGAGGGAATCCTGCAGTGTTAAAGTCTGAGACTAAAACCACGAACAGCAAAACAGTTTGGAGGATACATACTATGAAGGGAGAAGAAAAAAAATTTTTTTTAATATCCTCAGTGAAATAAGAGAAGAATTCACATCTAGAAAATCAGGGCATAGAACAGAAAACAAAAAAAGAGCTCTTAGAAATCAGTAGGATGGCAGAAATGAGGGGAAAAAAACACAGTGAAGAAATTCTAATGAATCTATGGATTAATCTAATTCTAATAGATTCTAATTGTAATAAATTTATTAATCCTAATCTACAGATTTATTAATCTAATAAATCAACAGGATAAAGAAAATGGGAGGAAAATCACCAATGGAAAAAAATTTTTAATGTTTTATCTGTTCTGAAAGGTATGACTTTCTAGATTGAAATAGTCCACCAAATACACAATAAAACAACTACCCTGTGAAATTTCTTAACATGGAGAACAAAGGATCTAAAAGCTTCCGGAGAGAAAGAACAGGTCACAAAGGGTCAGGCATCAAAATGACTTCAGATTTCTCAAGAAGCTTGAAGACCATGAACAATGCCTTCAAAATTCAGATAGAAAATGAATTCTAACATAGTAACCTGTACTCAATCTGTCACTCAAATAGAAAGAATAAAAATCCCAGAAAAGCAAGATCTCAAAAACCTTACTGCCCATGTACTTCTTCCAAGGAAGCTACTGAGGGTTATTTCATCAAAAAGTGGGCAGGAGGGGCTCCCAACAGAGAGAGAGAGATCCTGCACACTGAGGGAGAGAGCAACTAGTCCAGTTTGGAACCGGTCTGAAATTTTAGGGTCAGAGATAGCACAGGGTGCCACATCTAGAAGCACCTTTCCTGTGGAGTGAACACATGGGTGCAGTAAAGACAGGGGCATCATCTCTGCTCTTGATAAGACCCGCAGCGATGATGGTCCATGGCTGAGCCAGAGCAGCGGAGCAATAAAGAAGCATGTTCCTCTCTGGTACCTCTCCTCACCAAAATCCTGGCAAGAGCCTTCAGATCTCTGTACTCCACAGGAATAAGAAAATGAAATATGCCTAAATAGGAGGAATTCTATATGTACTTGTTCTTGTCAACGTTTAGAATGTCCCTGGAAGAAGAATACAGAAGAAGCTGGTTATAATGGTTGCCTCTGGGGAAGGGAACAAGGTAGTTTGAGGAAATAAGTGGACAGAAACCTTGCTTCTCACTGTTCTTTTTTTTTCTTTGAATGTGTACCATCTACAAAAGATAAAAATGGAAAAGAGACATACACCCCCCCACACACACCACCAAACCAGTAGGAAGCTATTGCAGGGAGGGCTGGAGTGGATGGTGGCTTGCAGGAAGGTTACAGCAGCCCAGATGGAGAGAAGTGGATGGATTTGAGTGCGGCTGGAGGTGGGAGACGGCCACCATGCATCAGAGCCCTCCAGGTGCTCATACTCTAGAGAGGGACACTGCGGAGAAATAGACTATTATGGGAGCTCAACAGAGGGACACTTAGCCTGGCCTGAGGGAGAACAGGGACCGGATGCCAGCCCTATCCAGCTCTTGATGCCGAGGTTGCTTGGAAAATGTCCTACCCTCAGTGCTGCCTCTGAGGAGGATCAGGCCATCCCCCAACCCATGATTGGGATCCATATGGGAAATGGACTCCACTGGGCTGGCTGAGCCCACCAGGGACTGATTTCATGTACCTGCTCTATTTTTATATCTCACCCTGGAGCCCTGGCCCTGGCTTCTCTGCGTGGTGCCTGGGAGCTTGCTCTTCAGCTCTGATGTTGAGCATTGCTCCTACCCAGGTGGCCAAAACTAAGCAGCAGATCGAGGAGCAGCGGGTACAGGTGCAGGTGGTGGAGCGGGCCCAGCAGGTGGCAGTGCAGGAACAGGAGATCGCCCGACGAGAGAAGGAGCTGGAGGCCCGAGTTCGGAAGCCCGCGGAAGCTGAGCGCTACAAGCTGGAGCGCCTAGCTGAGGCAGAGAAGTAAATGCCCCCTCCCAGGCCCCAGCCTAGTCCTTTACCACCTGCGTGCCCCCATATGAAGAGCTGAGGCCCTCCCTACCTGAACTCCTACGGAACTCGGGTTACAGAAGCCTGTGTCTCTCCAGCGGGGCCTGCCTTTTGCCCTTCCTCAGTGCCTCCCCCCACTTCCCTTTCTGTGCCCAGGTCCCAGCTGATTATGCAGGCTGAGGCAGAAGCTGAGTCTGTGAGGGTGAGTTAAGAGGTGGCTCTTGCTGGCTTGTGGAGTGAGTGGGGGTTGCTCTTTGAGCTGGGGTTACTTGTCCTTAACTACAGCCATCAGTGACTCTGGAAAACAAACTGAGGGTTCTAGAGGGGAGGGGGGTGGGAGGATAGGTTAGCCTGGTGATGGGTATTGAGGAGGGCACATTCTGCATGGAGCACTGGGTGTTATGCACAAACAATGAATCATGGAACACTACATCTAAAACTAATGATGTAATGTAGGGGATTAGCATAAGAATAAAAAAAAAGAATAAAGAAGATTAAAAAAAAAAAAAAAACTACAGCCATCAGTACCACGGTTTCCTGTACCATTCTCAGATGCGTGGGGAGGCCGAGGCCTTTGCCATAGGGGCTCGAGCCCGGGCTGAGGCTGAGCAGATGGCCAAGAAGGCAGAAGCATTCCAGCTGTACCAGGAGGCTGCTCAGCTGGACATGCTGCTGGAGAAGCTGCCCCAGGTCTGGAGGTTGTGTGGGCACCAGGAGAGGAACAGAACCAGGGATTGTAGGGTGGGGGGAAATGAGGGGCTTGGGGAGAACCAGGCTAGGGGACTCTAGATTAGGGGTGGGAATTATAAGCCAGTGACCGAAGTGAGGAAGAATGATCCTTAGAAAGTGAAGAAGATCAAGGCTCTTGAAGCCCAGGGTAAGGCATTTTAGGAGGGGTATGGTCAGACCACAGGTGCTGAGTGGGCATCTCTCACCTACCAGGTAGCAGAGGAGATCAGTGGTCCCTTGACCTCAGCCAATAAGATCACACTGGTGTCCAGTGGAGGTGGGACCATGGGGGCAGCCAAGGTGACTGGGGAAGTACTGGACATCCTGAGCCGCCTGCCAGAGAGCGTGGAGAGACTCACAGGCATCAGCATCTCCCAGGTGAGGGTCTCTAGGGTGGGAGCTGTGGATTTTCTGTGAGTTTCTGGGTTCCTGGGGCATGTGATGCAGCAGGCCTAGTACTAGACCAGCACCAAGGAGGCTCAGGGAGCCACCGACATTTTTGCTTTCTATATGCTAGACACAGTGCTAAGCTGCTGCTGCTTTTTTTTTTTTTTTTTTTTTAAGATTTTATTTATTTACTGCAGAGAGAGAGAGAAAGCATGAGTGGGGGCGGGGGACAGGGCAAAACAGACTCCCTGCTGAGCAGAGAACCTGATGCCAGGACCCTAGGATCATGACCTGAGCCTAAGACAGACACTTAACCAACTGAGCCACCCAGGCGCCCCCACAGCGCTAAGCTTCTACACAAATGGTTGGTTTTTTAAATCAAACCATCCTTTGGGTGTATGGTATTTTACAAAGTAAAGAAACAACTTTCAATATGTTAAGGAACTGTGCCCCTGTCATATAGCTAGCTGGTAAAGCTAGATTTCAAAAACCCAGGCTGACTGTCTTCTAGAGCCTTGTGGTCACCCCACCAGTACAAGCAACTGGTTGCAGCCTGTTGACAATTGATTCCAAGGCATATCACGGCTTTTCTTGGTGCCTGTTTATTCACCTATAGATTATGATAGAGGTCAGAGAGCCAGCTCTGGAACCATACTATTGTGGTGTGAATCCTGGCTCCAGTGCATGCTAGCTGTGACCTTAGACAAGTTAGCTATTTCTCTGTACCTCTTTCCTCACCTTAAAATCAGGTTAATAATAGCATCTACTCTACTGAATTGTTAAGGGGATTAAATGAGTAAATATTTTCAGTGTTTAGGACAGCGCTTGGCACATACTATATATGAGTGTGCTTAAAAAGTTATATAGGGGCGCCTGGGTGGCTCAGTTGGTTAAGCGTCCAACTCTTGGTTACGGCTCAGGTCGTGATCTTAGGGTCCTGGGATAGGCCTGCGTTGGGCTCTACACTCAGTGCAGGGTCTGCTTGTCCCTCTCCCTCCCCCTGTGCTCTTCCCCCTGCTTGTGCACATTCTCTCTCTCTCTCTCTCAAAGTACCTTTAAAAAAAAAAATTACAGGGGTGCTTGGGTGGCTCCGACGGTTGAGTGTCTGTCTTTGGCTCAGGTCATGATCCCAGGGTCCTGGGATCGAGCCCCGCATCGGGCTCCCTGCTCAGCGGGAAGCCTGCTTCTCCCTCTCCCTCTGCCTGCTGCTTCCCCTGTTTGTGCACTCTCTGTCTGTCAAAAATAAATAAAATCTTAAAAAAAAAATTATATATATATAAGTGAAAGCAGTAGACCATACCAGTGACCTTCAAGCTGGGTTCCTTGGATCCTTCTTGAGGCCGGCATTGAAAGCACTGAAAGATTAGGAGCTAAGGAGGGTCTGTGCAAGCAGGGCTCTAGCCCCCTCCACTCCTTTTCAGTGATTGTTGCTGTATATTGGTCCTAATTACTGCTTGACAAGAGGGTAAGGTAGGGCGGCAGAAAAAAACATCTTAGAAGACTTCTGGAAATGTGTGTCGTCCCTGCAGCCCTCATCCAAATGGGGATCTGGGAGAACAGGGTACAGGGTTCCCAAGTGTCATCCCTTTTGTCTTTTTACCAGGTTAACCACAAGCCTTTGCGAACAGCTTGAGCCAACCGTTGCCAATGCCTAGCCTCATGGTTGCCACAATGGTCCCCATACTGCATGCAGAGCTGGCTTCCCTGAGCATGCCCCTGACAGTGGGGTTTCATCCCTCATCTCCTTGCCAAATAGTCTTGTGGCTTGCCTTGGAGGGGAAGGGTTACTCTTCCCAACCCCACACTGCCAAGACTACCAGTCCCCCAGGGGTTCCATGCCAGCCTTCGGATTATCCTACTCACCCCCAATTTAACTTCCTAATTAGACTGTGTGTACCTTTGTCTTGAATTTTCCTGACCAAAACTGAGGGATGGCCTGGAGGTTCTCAACTTTGTCAAATCAACTGCTGTTAAAAGGTAGTAATGCTGATTAACTTAATAAAGCAGAACTTATTCAAAATGAACGCTGGAATGTAGCTTATTCCCTTCAATAGACTTTTTAGAATGGGAGAAGGAAGTTACCTTGTACACTGTTAAAATTGTACAACTTTTTTTCTGCAAAATTTGGTTATAGGCAGAAAAAGCATACTGAAATGGAAGAAGTGGGGAGACTTGAACTAGTCCCCACAATTACTGAAAATAGGGCCAAGGAAAATTATAGACTTAAATTTCCAGGGTAGCTCTGAGACTTACTTTGTGTACTTTAGAAGCACGTTGTATTAGGTGGAAGTGTTACTTTAGAATGGGACCATTACGTGATATCCCCCACTGGTTATCTTTCCTTTATGTTAACGAGAAAATCCCAAAGGGTAAGAGAAAACCGCAAGATACCATAACCCAAATGAACCCTGGATGTGCTATACACTGGAAGTGGGGCAGTAATAGCTTTCAACTCTGCACTTACAAGATTCTCCTGGAGTACTGTTAAAATAGATTGCTAGTTAACTGGTTTCTGGCTCAGTACTTCTGGGTAGGCCTGAAGATCTCCATTTCTGCAAGTTCCAAGAGGATGTCGATGGTCTGGGAACTACTTATGCCCTATTTTAACATTCATCTCAATTCCCGCTTCTGTCCATTGATCCAGTATTTGAGCCTGTGCCTATCCTGGTTATTGAGGCTGTTAGTGAAGGTGGTGGGGTGGTTTGGGTACCGGGGTTAAGATATGAGGGTCAATTAAGTATAAAGATAGTCTCAGTTTATGGAGAGCAAAGTTTATGTGTAGCTGAACATGAACCTCATGTACCACTGGTAGGCTTTCCCTAAATGAGCACACATCTCACAACTTTTTTTCAGTTGTCATTTATTTTTGGCTCTTGGGGCAATGTTATCTTTTCAATATGAAAAAAAGCAAGTTCAACACAAAATAGAAATTTGAAGTGTAGGACAGGATGAAGCCAAGGGCGGGGGGAGGGAATAGCAAAAGGAAGAAATGAGATGTTGCCCAAGATGGAGGGTCTCCTTGTCCCCTCTCTGGAAGAATGATTCAGAAGATTTAGGTGGCAATACACACCTTTCCATATATACACAGCAGAGCTGGGTGTTTGCTAAGAAAAGGTGGGGAGGGGGAGGGTCTTTCTGGAGGCTAGTCCCTCTTCCCCCTCTTGGCCCCCTTCTCCAACCAGGGGAAAAGGAAGGAATCCAACATGAAGGAGGTTATATAGGAGAGGGAAGATCCTATTTAACAGAGTGGGGCAGACCCCTGCAAAAAAAACAGCTCAGGACAGAGCTTGGAAGAAGACGAAAAATAGAGATAATACTGTTAACACCTCTCCTGAAGCTGAGAGGAGCAAGGAAATCCCTGGAAATTAGGACTCAATAGCCTGAATATCCCTCTCCAAAACTGCTCTAGAATAGAAAACCCTACCCCTTCCTTATAGGTACACCTCTACTGCTATGAGGTAACTTGATTTCCTTTCCCCTGGGCTACCACATGGGCTTAGGATGGTGACCATCTACTGGGTTTTCAGCACATGGGATCTAAATGGGATCTGGTGAGACCCAGCTTCTTGGAGAATTACCTTAAAAAACAAAGGGAAATATCAACTGGACAGATGGGAGAAGTGGACACCAAAAGGAAATACAGGGCTACCCAGAATGGCAGAAATCTAGGTTTCCCAGAGTGGAAGAGAGGAGACATTCAACAAACAACAAATATTTATTGAGCGCCTATTATGTGCCAGGCACTGTTCTAGGATCCCCCCTCCAAAAAAGGAAAACAAAACAAAATAAAATGAGATAGAGGCAGAAAATGCAATTCTGAGGGAGAGGACAGGGGCAGCTGAGGAAGAAGGCTGAGGGAACGGAGAAGCCTGAGGTGATGGTGCTCTGCCTTAGGCCTCCTCTTCGGCCTCCTCACCGAAATCCTCCTCTTCTTCTGCGGTGGCATCCTGGTACTGCTGGTACTCAGACACCAGGTCGTTCATGTTGCTCTCAGCTTCAGTGAACTCCATCTCGTCCATGCCCTCACCTGTGTACCAGTGGAGGAAGGCCTTGCGCCGGAACATGGCCGTGAACTGCTCCGAGATGCGTTTGAACAGCTCCTGGATGGCCGTGCTGTTGCCGATGAAGGTGACTGCCATCTTGAGGCCACGAGGTGGGATATCGCAGACTGCTGTCTTGACGTTGTTGGGGATCCATTCCACGAAGTAGCTGCTATTCTTGTTTTGCACGTTGAGCATCTGCTCATCTACCTCCTTCATGGACATCCGCCCACGGAAGACAGCAGCCACGGTGAGGTAACGGCCATGGCGGGGGTCACAGGCGGCCATCATGTTCTTGGCATCAAAGACCTGCTGGGTGAGCTCGGGCACAGTGAGGGCCCGATACTGCTGGCTGCCGCGGCTGGTCAGAGGTGCGAAGCCAGGCATGAAGAAGTGGAGACGTGGGAAGGGCACCATGTTGACGGCTAGCTTGCGGAGGTCAGCATTGAGCTGACCAGGGAAGCGGAGGCAGGTGGTGACACCGCTCATGGTGGCTGAGACGAGGTGGTTCAGATCCCCGTAGGTTGGCGTGGTCAGCTTCAGAGTGCGGAAGCAGATGTCGTACAGGGCCTCATTGTCAATGCAGTAGGTCTCATCCGTGTTCTCTACCAGCTGATGGACGGAGAGGGTAGCGTTATAGGGCTCGACCACCGTGTCAGACACTTTGGGTGAGGGTACCACACTGAAGGTGTTCATGATGCGGTCAGGATACTCTTCTCGGATCTTGCTGATGAGCAAGGTGCCCATTCCAGAGCCTGTGCCCCCACCCAGCGAGTGGGTCAGCTGGAAGCCCTGCAGGCAGTCACAGCTCTCAGCCTCCTTCCTCACCACATCCAGGACTGAGTCAACCAGCTCAGCCCCCTCTGTATAGTGGCCCTTGGCCCAGTTGTTGCCTGCCCCGGACTGACCTGGAAAGGGGTCGGGAGGCAAACCTGATTAGTAAAGCATGGAAAATAAAGGACCAAATTCCCACCTTTCAACTTTTGGAATAATGTACACAAATGTGCCTTCTTTCTCACTCACCTGTGATACATCCCTCCCCCATTATTTACCATCTAAGGCAGTCCCTACCAACACCCTGCATTAGAGATTTCAGAATACAGCCCTGGATAAGCACTCCAGTATAACAATAATCTCCTTGCTGTCTCCTTTACCCAAATACACTGAACAGCACATTGTATATAACTCACCGAAAACAAAGTTGTCTGGTCTGAATATCTGCCCAAAAGGACCTGAGCGAACAGAGTCCATGGTCCCGGGTTCTAGATCCACCAAGATAGCACGAGGAACGTATTTGCCACCTATATGGAATAAAGTAGAGTACAAATTGGCAAAAGAGATCAATTGGGGCTGGGAGAGAGCCAGGGACCCTAACTTGTGATTCCAAGTGCGGCCACCAGGGGGCAGAAGAGTCAATCTTCTGCCCCACGGTGGGCAATCAAATCAAGGCCTCCTTAAAAAGAGAAAGGACAAATCCATCCAAAGGTGGTGAAAGACCCTAGAGAAGCGGAAGAGGAGATGGGACCCAAGCTTCCCCGGGTTCCCAACCTCACCTGTAGCTTCATTGTAGTAAACGGAGATGCGATCCAGCTGCAGGTCGCTGTCACCGTGGTAGGTTCCGGTGGGGTCGATGCCGTGCTCATCACTGATTACCTCCCAGAACTGCGGAGGGAAAGCAATGAGACTTCCACAGCTCTGGTCCCGGCCAATTATGCCCACCCGACCTACACATTTTAATCCCAGACACACCCGTGGTGAGCCTGGTTCTAGGGCCTGGCATTCCCGGTCTGCCTGCCACACCCTTCCACTAGACACCCGCAACCCCGGGGAAGCCGAAGCTTTCACTGCTTGGAATGCGAGACGAGGTGCAGCTGAGGAGGCCCGGCGATCGCAGAAAATTGTGGGGTGGGAGTGTGAGGAGAGGGGGAGAGAGGCGGCCGACCACACGGGACGAGCACACCTTCCCGCCGAGCACAATGGGCCGGGGTTCGACAGACCAGATGCTGCCGCAAACGACCACCCCCCACCCCGCCCTCCACGTGACTGCGGCGCCCGCGCCCGCCGTGCCACTGACAAAGGGAGGCGTCGCGCGTGGGCGGGGGCGGGGCCTGAATTCGGCCCGCGAGGCGGGGCTCGGCTTGGGCTAGGGCGCCCCCAGCCGGCCGGCAGGGCCGCATTGTCCCGGCGCGCCAGGGGCGCCCCGGCCCCGCCCTTCTGCTACAACGTAGCAGCAGCACTTCCTCCCTGCCCTTCCCCCGCTACACTGTAACCGCGCGCAAAAAAAAAAAAAAAAAAAAAAAAACCACACCAAAAAAACCCACCCCTTGCCTTGGCCTCGGAATTTTCTTCTTTTGCTAGCTTTTTACCCCTTGCTTTAAATAAGGATTCTCTTCCTTTCTCCCACCGTTTAGTCCTGAGGGACCTTTTAAAGAAAAGGACCCTCCTGCCCTCTTTCTCCATACTGGTTCACGCCCTAAAAGGGTCTCTTTACTGGAGATGAAAGGAAATAAAATTAATCCAGCAGCTACTAGTTTTCCATCCACAAAGAACTACGGGACCGCCCCTCGGGAATCGCGGGCGCGCGAGATGCCTATCTTTTGGGAAGGGGACCGCGCAGTGCAGCCCACCCTGGCGCACCGCGTCCCCCACCCCACCGTGGGATCCGGGCTCCCTTCAGCCGCCGCCCAGCCTCCCCCCTCCGGCGAAGCCCAGCCAAGGGGGATGTACATGGGGGAAACCTCGCCTCGCTTTGTCTCGGACCGTTTCCGCATCTCCCTCCCTCCCCGGTCCTCGGACCGTTAGAACACTTTCAAGTAAAATCTTAACAGAACCACGGTCTTCCCACCGCCAAACCCGAAAGGGCCTTAACAGCTTCCCCCAAATGAGCCAGCCAAGACTAATTCCCCCATTTTTCAAAAACAAATTCTAGCTACAAACGTCTATTATATATGGAAAACTTTTGAGGGGCAAAGCTTGACTATGGA